TCTCAATCTGTGGGAGGCACAGAAATCTGATGGCAAGCAAGAAATAAGAGAGAATTGAGACTCTTGTTCACTGTCCAGTAGGCCTACTGGAAAGGCAACACATACGTATGTTGTACAGCAGGTAAGAAATAAAACGGACCCCAGATACAGGTTCAGTTTGGATACCACACCATGGGGATATGTGCCTTTGGCAATCCAGGCACAGATTCATTTGGGTGAAAACACAATACGGCACTGCAACACAGCACAAGTCACTGCTTTAAATGACAGAGAGAGAGAGAAAAATCACAAAAAAAGGGGAATACATGCAAATTAACAGGAATCACCAAAACAACTATTGGCTCATTCAAATGTTCAGAATTATCCACTAAAATATTACCATTATTTCTACAAAATAACTTAAGCTGCCTTGGAGCTAAAAATTATTTGGAACATTTTAGGACAACACTATCATCACAATGACATTTAAAAATTACTTCTTCTTTATCAATTCCACACAGAGAAATTGATTTTCCACTGTAGTTTATTTGGATGTATTTACGTAATAAGTAGTCACTTCAGAAAATGAAACCATTAAAACAAATCGGAAAAGGCTGCTGGAGTTTGACTTGCATGATGTGAACAATGCGGTGGGGAAGCCTTTCACATTTAAAATGATCAAAACTGGGTAAGAAATGTACTGAACTAAAGGTCAGCGTGGAGCTTAGAAGTTTCCAAAAAAACACAACAGCTTTTGAATGATCAGAAAGGCAGCCAAATCAAATACCACAGATATATCATTCCAAATTCTTGTTAACACCAATTATTCTATTCTGCATGTAAGTGTCAAGTTGAGCCCATCTGCACCACTTAGAAATCTGAATGATGATAGTTTAATGTCTTCTCTTCTGGGCAACTATCGTTTTTTTTTAAACTGTTAAATTACATCAACATCTATTACTACTGCAACATTATTTTAACATCTAAAATGTTTTTAACCAACAATTTATAATCTAATATTGTGCATATGTGCTACAGGGCAATAAACAAATAACTCATTAGTTTTAAAAAGATCTTTAAACAAATTGCATCACAGAGCAGTTACAAAAGTAATCTCTATGGTAAATATCTTAAATGTATGTGATATGCTGGAGTTATTCTTTCAGCTTCCAGGCAAGGCCAAGAGCAAACTGAAATAAGCTTTTATGACAAAGACTTTGAAGTCACAGCACTGGATTAATTCCTCCTGACATTTGGAAGTTGGCCGAATGCCACAGGCACTCGAGGGGGTAAGAAACATCGCACCATGTTCCAAACATAGGAGACAGATGTCTGGAGAGGTCATATGCTTGCAAAAAATATTTTCTGTTGCAAGTATTATCATTTTCATATAAATGAGATAGCAAAGGAACATGCAAAATGTAGACTTACTTACTCAACTTCTATTTATTGCAGTGATGGATCAACATAATTACAGAGTTAGCAAGAACTAACCAAATACTGTAAAATCCTGCAGTAAACAAATTAAATGCTAAGATTTTAATCATTAAGCAAGGATTTATTTTCTTAGTTTTAATTACAATTGAGTGATAATTTCATTAAACCTAGATTTAACAATTAGCTTAAAACAACCTATATATTAACAGCAGGCTCCTCAATTAAATTCATTTCTCTTCATTTCCTTCAAAGCTGGACTACATTTGTCAGTCAAAATAAGAACCAGAATCACATGTCAGTAAGGATCTACTTCCACCAAATATTAGAACAGCTACTGAGCATCTAATTATACATTGACAAGTTTATTTTCAGCACTAGGGTGATACTAAATGCGTACAAATATTCAAATTGGTCTTTTTTTCTAATCAGTTGTTAAATTAGAGGACTGCACAATAATATTTCCCTGGGAAAACAAGTCAAGTCAAAAGGATATTAATTTCCGTGTGCACAAACCATATTGTGAGAGCAGGCATTCACCCTTTTGTTATTCTATTGTATGATGATTTTTGAGATGATTCGCTTTTAGCACAACTTTCCACAGATCAGTCTTAGCTTATCATGAATACTGTTAATTAGTATTATTTGTGCAAGAAAACCTACACATTTAAATACATTTCAAAAAATGCACTGCTGTTAAAAATCTGAAGAAAAGGTTACACTGAGCTCATCACTGTAACTCTAAGGGGATGGAAAGTGGAGCTCTCTCCCGAGTGCCGTCACTAATGCTAAGAAAACATAATTTAGTAACCAGACCAATTGATAGCTCATTGCAGAAAAATCAATGCACACTACTTCTCCAGTCAATCTTTGATAAAGTCAACAGATTCAACTCATTTCCTTGAATCCAGCAGACTTCACTTCAGCTTCCCTCCTGTCACCTTTAAATTAGTTATAACTGACATGTCTGTATGGAAATAAAATGCAGCAGCTGAACACAATTCTTTCTCTACTTAGTACACAGAGATTGAAAGCGCTCTTGTGTTACACAGGTATTGTCCCTAGCTCTGGGCCAGGAGGCTTGAATTAAAGTCCCACCTGCTTTGAAGATTGATTGGACAAAACAGATTGAGGCAAAGGCGCTTTGGCTCGATGCAATTTGCAGAAGTGCCAGGCAATGCTGCAGACACCGGAACAAAATGCAACATGAGGTACAATAATTATTTTTGTTTTTTTTTCCTTTTTTTATTCATTCATGGGGTGGGGGCATGCTGGTTGGCCTGCATTTATTGGCTGTTCCTAGTTGCCCTTGAGAAGGTGGTGGTGAGCTGCCTTCTTGAACTGCTGTAGTCCACCTGCTGTGGGTTGACTCACAAAGCCATTAGGGAGGGAATTCTAGGATTTAGACCCAGTGACAGTGAAGAAATGGTGGTATATTTCCAAGTCAGGTGAATGGCTTGGAGGGGAACTTGAAGGTGGTGATGTTTCCATGTATCTGATGGCCTTGTCCTTCTAGATAGAACTAGGCATGACATTTATATAACACCTTGAATATAGCAAAGTGTCACAAGGAGTTTCACAGGGTGAAATTAGACAAAGACAAATAACAGGGACAGAACACCGACGTTTCACCGGAGGCGCACTGATCATGTTACCTAGTAGGGTGATGAAACATTTGCAACCAAACCCACCGGCTCGGCGAGCTTGTCTAAAACATCAAATTGACATTTTGCCGAAGTAAGAAAATTTAGTAGCAGAGACTAAACCCTACCAATGTATTTAAACTTTTAACCACAGCAAAAATGAGTGAAGTGGAATGGTTTAGGGCTTGAGGCCTGTGTGACTCAAGTCACAACTACCGATGAGGGAGCAGAAATAGGATTCTAAAATGCAGCAATACATCATGGAAAGTAAGCGTATCACTGAGCCATGCCACTTATCTCTAGATGAAATAAAATGCTATGCTCAGTTATCAACTGGCACTTGCACAGTCAACATAAAATTCCATTCAGTCAAAGCCAATGAATGGCATCTCTCAGAATCAATTAATAGATCCTAACCAAGGCAAAGCATTTATTGTTTCAGAAAGAGGATATTTCAGTTCAGTTGCCATCTTTTTGACTTTAAAAGAAAATAAAGAATCGTGGATGCTGAAGAGCTGAAACAAACAAAAAAAAACCCAGGAATTGCTGGAGAAGCTCACTGCATCTGGCAGCATCCGTGGAGAGAAAACAGAATTGATACTTTGAGTCCTGTGACCCTCTTGAAATGTGAACTCTATCCACAGATCAAGCCAAACCTGCTGTTTCTCCAGCAATTTCTGTTTTTGTTTGTTTCAGATCCTTCTGATTTCACTGTTTTAGTTATGCAATGAAGATATACATAAATAACAGAAACTCTGCATCAAAACAAGGTCAGGTTAATCTCCAATGACATTGAGAACAACCTGCGCAGAAGCTAAAGGACAAATGTTTATTCATAAATCTAATTGTTGTGGATGGCCTGCATTGCCGAGTTGCTGAAATTGACCATTCCATTCAAACAAAAAAAGCCATTTTTATACAACTTTATACGTTAGAAAAACAATATTCGTTTACCTGTCACTGGGAGTTCAGGAAATAAGTCATGAGCTTTATATTTCAATTTCTGTTTAGGAGCAGCTTACGAACAGTAATTTTCCAAAAAGAAGTACATCACAAAGAGGTGTGTGTTGTTCTCACTCCAAGAAATGAGGTTACATCAAAGGCAAATTCGATATTAAAAGACCGATCTAATCATCACTTTAAAAAAAACACTAAATTACACAAGACACGTATATAAAGAATTTCAGAACTGTTATAGTGCAGAAGGAGGCCATTCAGCCCATCATGGCCACATCAGCTCTCGGAGCATTTTACCTGAATGGCAACCTCCTGTCATTTGCCTGTAGCCCTGCACATTGACTGTATTTAAATAATCATTCATAGTCCTCAGAACATTTAGATCTTTGAGGTAAATATAGCAGATTTTAGAATCTCAACAGAAGTTCAAGTAATCAAGTTCAAATATAAAAAGACTTAATTTTACTGAATATTTTGCCTGGGCCAGATTGCACTTCACACAAAAGAAAATAAAACTGAGGGAGAAAATGGAACAGAAAAGTTCAACAAAAAAAAAACAATGAAGTCACATTTTTAAAAGTATATTTAGCCTTGTCTAATTGGCATTCAAATCACTGTATTCAACAAAGGTGGAAATTAAGAAATACTCTAACCTCTGGGGAGCACATTTTTATCTGACCTAAATTTGAATACATATTAGCATCTGCAATAAAGAGAGAGAGACATTATCTTTGAAATCATATCTTATTCATGATAGCCTGAATTTTATATTTCTGGATGAATGTTCACTTGCTGTTTCACAGCAAACTCAAATGTAAAATTTAATAGAAACATTATTGTTAACTTTAAGAGACTTACAAAAATGGGTATTTTTAGGAATTGAGTGTATGCATTTTTCAACATTTCACTTCAAAAGAAAGTAATTAACTTTGTGTCGGTTCATATTTTGTGGCCTTACATGTTATCAAAGTCAACACTAATTATTACCTCATTGTGTTTCGTTATCCTCCTGGCAACAATCAATTGGATCATTCCCCTCTTATTTCCCTCTGTGGACATGGACCTCCGTAGTGTCTCCATGGCATCTTGATTTGTTTTTCCCAACAATGATTCACTGTTCACTGCTATAAGCTGGTCATTCACATTAAGTCTACCATCCTGAAGACAGAATAAAACTCTGCTGTCAAACCAGCTCTCAATTTTTAACATTTTCATTCAAAATCCAGTGATCAAATTCACTCAGGAAATATTCAAGTTCTTTTGACAAGGCATTTCTTTGCTATAAGTACTCAGGAGTTATACTTGTCAATTTGAAAAGTATGCTAACGAAACAAGAGTAAACTTCCCAGAAAGACAAGGGAATATATATTTCCTTCAACAATGTGAACATGAAAACAGTAAACAGTTTTGTACTGTCAATTTTCAAAATGATCATGAAGAACATCAATATCATGTCAACATGCTCTATCAACAACGTTTGTGGTGTATATCTAAACCCTTTTTTTAAAAAACTACTTCTTCACAAAAAAAAAAATCATCTGATGTTGTTCCACCCAACTACAACATTTGGTCAATTCATTTTCTACTTTCTGAATCACTTCCTTTGATTTAAACACCATTCCAAAGAAAGCATACTTGACAGTCTGTGCGAAGATTTTGAATTAAAGTTGATAGACTGCAATTGAAATGGTGCAAATCTTAACATCACTCTTTAATGCATCTCATTAAGGACTTCACTGATCGCAACATAACTCCTTTGTAGAGGTAAATGCGATGATCATTTATTTGAATTTTCATAGAAACTGGGCAAACCAAGCGTTCAGTCAGCATGGAGAAGAATTTGTGGAATGCATTCAAAATAGTTTTCTAGATCTGTTTCAAGGAACCAACTGGGGGAACAGGCCATTTTAGATTCAGTTTTGTGCAATTAGGTGGGGTTACTCAATAATCTTTCAGGAAAAGACACTCTTGGGAACATTGATCACATCAGTTTCTGATTGATTTAGTTAAGCCCAAAGATGAGGTCTAAAATTTGAAAAAAAATTGTTGAGGTGGATTAAGAAACTGGATTGAAATAAACAAAGTACACATAAACAATGTAAAATGTTTAAAGAATAATTCTTAATACACAAGGGATATACATTTCCTTTAAAACAAAAACAAATCCTGCAGGAAAAGTGGTCTGACTAACAACAAATGTTAATATTAATGTTGGATGATCAAAAAAGTCTGCTAGTATTCAAAAATAAAGTAAACCTGAGGAACCACAAAGTGTCCAAGAAATTGATGAAGAAAGTAATAACTTGAAAGTGTCAAATAAAGTGATTGTAAAAGACTCTATACACAGGTAAACAAGAATGGATTTAAAAAAAGGCATCACTTAAGATTGAACCAGCAAAAAGAGTAGAAAATAAAGATTTCAGTGACATTGAGCAATGACCTTCCATCTGTCTGTACAGAAGGCAACACTAATGAATTCCATAAATAGTCAGGAATCCACTCTTTTGGAAAAGTAAAGAAATTAAAGGAAATTATTTTAAAGCAATAATACTGTAAATATTAATAGAATTAAAAACCAATAAATACCCTAGAGCTGATAGACCACCTCCTAGTACTTTACAAAAGAAATAGTTCCTTAGATCACAGCTGCATTGGTTTTGATAGCTCAGAATTCCCTAGATTCTGAAATGGTGTCTGCATTGGAAGATATCAAACATAACTCCTCTTTCCAAGAAAGGAAGGAGAGGGGAAACAAAGGTGACAGATCAGTTGTTCTGACATCAGTAGCAGCAAAAACATGAGAATCCATGACTAAGGACACGATAGCACAGTATTTTTGAAAAATCACAAAATGATCAGTCAGAATCAAGTCAGATTTTTGAAAGGAAATTTTTATTCAACAAATTCTATTAAAATGGTTTAATACTGTGGATTAGATAAGGAGGAATCAATGGCTGAATTCTGAATTTTCAAAAAAATAGATTTTTGCACAAGATTGAGGTAATAAATTGATTATGATATATTATGCAATAATATATATTAGCATAGATTGAGGATTAATGGACACTAGACACAGACTAGGAGTAAGGTGCTAGGATCAGTGTTTGGGCCTCAGCTGGTCACAATCTTTTCTGATAATTTAGATGAGACGACCAAGTGTTTTTGCAGTGCAGTGGTAGTGTCTCCATCTCTGGGCCAGGAGATCCAGGTTCAAGTCCCACCTACTCTATATGTGTGCAAAAACATTTCTGAATAGGTTGATTAGAAAAAAAACTTACAACTGAACAAAGAATTGGGCTGGGTGCTTAATGGGCAATCAATGTAATGTAAACCGTTTTGTGCCCAATTATATGTTCAATGTTGAAGGATCTTATTTGAAACTGGCAGAAAGTATCAGTCATGTAGATCATCCCGGATTAATTTAGAGTTTGGTGCAGTGGTAGTGTCCCCATCTCTCGGCCAAGAAGTCTGGGGTCAAGTCCCACCTGTTCCAAGTGGGCAAGTTGATTAAAAACAAACAGTAAAATGGTTGATTGGGCCTGGAGCCTGGGTTCAAATGAGATGCCTGGGAAATGGTGACATAGTAATGTTAATAGACTAGCAATCAAAAACCTTAGGTTAGTGTTCAGGCAGCAGGGGTTCAAATCCTACAATGGCAATGCCAGAATTGAATTCAATAAAGATCTGGGATTTAAAAAAAAGCTAGTCTAATGGTGACTAGATAATCACTGTCAATTTCTGGAAAAACCCATCTGGTTCAACAAATGTCCTGTAGGGAAGGAAATTTGCCATCCTTACCTTGGCTGGCATACATGTGACTCTAGACCCACAGCAATGTGGTTGACTCTCAGTTGCACAGATAAGTAAAAAATATTAGCCTAGTCAGCGACACCCACATTGCATGGGTGAAAAAAAAATTCCAACTGCTCCATGTGTGTATCATAACATGTTTAATCAATTAAAAATTAACCAAATGAAGAATTTTAAAAATATCCGAACCGTGAAATTAGGGTCCTGTGGTGCAGTAGCATTGACTCTACACCTGGGCCAGAAAATTCAGGTTCCCCAGGTGTATGATATCCAAGTTTGCTGACAACACAATGTTAGCTGGGAAAGCATATCATGAAGAGAACACCCAGGAGGTTACAGAGATATGTAAACACGATAAATGAAGCAGGCATGAGCATTGCAGATGCAATATAATGTATGGATGTGATGTCATTCACCTTGGGGGAAAAAAAATAGTCTCGTCTCAGCTATAGGTGACTCCAAACCCACAGCAGTACAGCTGACTTCTAACCGTCCAGTGAAAAAGCCCAGCAAATTCAAAGGCAATAAGAAGTGGATAATAAATACTGGTCCAGTCAGTAATGTCCACATCCAACGAAGAAATACAAAAGAAATCTATGAAATGGAGGAGCACACTTGAGGGGTCAAACAGATAGTCCTGTGTTCTTCTGTTGAGGGAGGACTAAGAGATGATGCTGTAGTGACTGGACTAGAAACCCAGACTGACATTTTGGGGATGTGTGTGCCATATCTCACCAAAGCAGAAAATTATCATAGAAGCTCATAGAATCCCAACAGTTTGGAAACAGGCCATTTGGCCCAACAGGTCCATACCAACTCTCCAAAGAACATTCTGCACAGACTCACCCCTCTGTCCTATCCCTGTCACCCTGCGTTTCCCATGGCTAATCCACCAAGCCTGCACATCCCTGCACACTGTGGGCAATTTGGCATGGCCAATCCACCTCATCTGTACATCTTTGGACAGCGGGAGGAAACTGGGGCACCCAGAGGAAACCCACGCAGATGTGAGGAGAATGTGCAAACTCCACACAGACAGTTACCCGAGGCTGGAACTGAACCTGGGTCCATGACATTGTGAGGCAGCAGTGCTAATTACTGAGCCACTGTGCCACCTGGGCATCACTAAACCTTATCACTAAAATGAAACAAAGAACTGCAGATGCTGTAAATCGCAAACAAAAAGAGAAATTCAGCAGGTTTGGTCACATCTGTGGTTAGAAAACAGAGTTATCACCCCACCAGACCTGCCGAGTTTCTCTTGAAAATTATTACTGATTGTTGTAAAAGAACATCTGTTTCATGATGTCCTTAAGGAAAGGAAATCTGCTGCCCTTACCTGGACTGGCCAACATATGACTCGAGACTTAATACTCTAAAATGCTGTCTGAAATGGCTGAGTAAGCTCATTTCAAAGACAACGAGGGACAGACAGAAAATGCTGGACTTACCATTGGTACTCTCATCCCATGGAAGAAATAAAAAGGTTCTTAAAAACGGGGGTGAGTCGACTGCTCTATGGGAAGAAATTGAGTAGACTAGGCTAACATTTCCTCGAGAGCTAATCTCATTAAAGCATGAAACAATTAAGTGGGTGACAGGGCTGATGTTTCCTCTTAAATCTTCAACTGGGAGTTTCTTGCTGAGAACATAAAACTTTCCATTTAGAATGTAAATAAGGAGAACTTTCTCTACGCAGCCAATTGTGAAACTCGGAAATTGTGGATTCTTGCATCCACGATGGAGGTCTATAGATTTTCTGACAAATAAAGCATGGGATATACAGATGGGTCAGGACAATGGAATAAGGTATGAATGAGGTAGAAGATCAGGAATATCTTACTGAAAGACGAAGCAGGGTTGGAAGTCTGCACAGCTGTTCGTATTCCTTATGTTCTTATTTAGCAGCTCTCCAATCTGGAATCAATTCTTTAGCCATTTCAAGGTTATATCCTGGAATCCCACAGTATTAAATAGCAACATCGTTGCCAGTTTTTTTTGTAAGTAAACTATACGAAGCATTGACACTTAAAGAGAGACACCTCTCTCTTTCTTCATGTACGTCTTTAAGAGGACTTCCATACGTTGGTCCTCGGTTATGTTGGAGAAGGTCCTGATTTAGATTGCTATTGCCTTCTGCTGGTTTTCACTGATCAGCTACCACAGGCTTGGGCAGAGGATGTACAGATGGATTATCAAATTGTTTGGCCATATTATGATTACACTATAGTAGCCATGAAGTTCTGCATTGGGACACAAATCTGGAGCTTCTGGCTCAGAGAAGGCTTGGAACTCCTGGATAAATGTCAGCCATCCCAGTGGTTTCATGTGAGAATTTCCTTTAAGCACTTGGAGGTTAAGTCTTTAATCACATTTTGAAGTGTTGTTAATCCTAGTTAGATTGTCATTATTCAGGCACTTTCTTCATTATATTTACTGAGAAAAACAATTATAAATTATTTGCATTGCATTACTTATTTTTGGTTCATCCTCATTTGTGCCTCAATAGCTTCTTTAAGGATTCTTGCCTCTTAAAGTAGCTGTTAGAATACTAAAGTAATTTCATATTGTTCAACTTTTAAAGCTTATTTCTCTTGGTACAAATTTCTGCACGTACTTTTATTATCACTGAGGCACAGATGTTCAATTCTTGTTCTGTGTTAAATTATCTGCTCTCAGCTTTTGTGGCAATACAAGTGCTCCAATTTAGCACAGCATTCTTGGGTGAGAGGGTAGGGTAGTCACTCAGAGTCTTTACTCTGGTCTTTACTCAGTCCAGACAGGTAGATCTCTTGGAAGGATAGGACCAGGTTCACCATTCACATACGATCCGGGATCAGTGGGTGCCTGGAACCTAACAGAACTACACCAATCAGAGTCAGTAACTTCTGTTGAGGAGGGGATAAATATGGCAAATATTGCTTTGGCGAATTTCATTTGCAAATATCCTCTTATATGCAATCATTAGACTTACTTATCATCTTGATACCAAATTGATTTACCTTAGATGCTGCTCCTCCATTGATGATGGATTTCACAAATATGCCCAGGTCAGCATGGTTTTCTTTTGATCTATTACCTTTGACACTAACTCCAAGGCCTGCAGATCCAGTATCATTGAGAGGAATTTCAAAAGTCAGGAACTCCCTGGTACCATCAGGTGTAAGCACCAAGTCATCATCCTCTGCTTTCTAATGTACAAAAACACAATTTTTATTTTTTACTGAATAACAGCTTAGATTTAAAAAAGTACAGCATTATATTGATCTGAATCAAGTTGAAAAAAAGCAAGTGCAAAAAACACTTTTTGTTGCAACAACTGTTCAAAGTTAAATATATGCTTCTATGAGTTTTACATAGACAGTGAAGTACATGTGTATGTTCTGATTCACATATACTATGCCCTAAACCACACTTTACCTGGAAAATCACTGCACTGTTTCTCTGCAGCACCATAGAAGGTAGATTACCCATACAAACAATTTTAGATTAACAATGCTAACACTGTGCTGTAGAGCCAATGTGCTTCACCAGTCTACAACTATTTCAAGAATTATTAGACAGAAGTACAAGGCAGGCACTAGTTCATGGGCCACTGAAGCTTAAAATGAAAGATTTCAAATTCTACAAGCCAATAGCACACTTATGAAGCAAGTACGAAGAAACAGTTAATCAAATTCAGGAATCCCGCTGTTTTTAATGAAACAAGGATAACTGCTATAAAAGAAGCACACTTAATTAGAACAATAGATTAATAAGCTTTCTGTGGACACTTATGCAAGTTAATTTCCGACTACATTTTACTTGTTTTGCAGCCATTTTGCTCATACTTATGGGGTCAGTTAGCTCAGTCGGCTAAGATTATGGTGCAAAACTCTGCCAATGGATGGGTTGAAATCCCTTTACAAGCTGTGAAAGTTCACAATGGCCTGCCTCCTGGCCTTGCCCCATGCTTGACGCAGAGTGGTGCCCCTTAATCTATATACGCATTAGTTCAGACTCGGTGGTAAATAATTTTCCTCCACACAAACACAAAAATTATATTGTAAATTTGAAGCCAGTGGTTAAGGTTGACTCCAAGGCAAAGTGGAGAAAGACTCAATGTCGTGACAAAACCTAGCCATACAGATTCAGTCCAAAAGAGTTAGCGGTCTGGAAGGTATGAGTGGGATATAATGCCAGAGGGAGGTGGTCAAGTTAGAGTGCAAGATATGAGAGATTATAATTTATTGCACTGGGAGATAGGTAGAACTGGAAGGTTTTAGAAGATAGTGTTAAGATACGATGCTTGACTGGATCCAAGCAGTTGGGTTGTGTGCAGGTAAAAGAGTTTACAAACCAGCAGAACACGGGAGGTCAACAAGAACAACACTGGAGTAGTTGAGCATAGATAAATGAAAAAATTTGGCAAATGATACAGGAATTGAGCAGGGAGTAGAGGCCAGTGACTCTGTATATTAGGTAACAAATGACCATCTTGGCAAATAGGATGCAGACTGAATTTCAGCTGTGTTGCACACAACAAAGGTTTCACTGAGATAACACGGTATAGAGCTGAATGAACACAGCAGGCCAAGCAGCATCAGAGGAGCAGGAAAGCTGACATTTCGGGTCGAGACCCTTCTTCAGAAATGGGGGAGGGCAAGGGGATTCTGAAATAAATAGGGAGAGAAGGGGAGGCGGATAGAAGATGGATAGAGGAGAAGATAGGTGGAGAGGAGACAGACAGGTCAAAGAGGCGGGGATGGAGCCAGTAAAGGTGAGTGTAGGTGGGGAGGTAGGGAGGAGATAGATCAGTCCAGAGAGGACGGACAGGTCAAGGGG